TTTGCACGCAAATGATCGCCATCTATCAGATCCTGAGTTTTCTCCTGTCACAATGAACAATTGCATTTTCAATGAGCCACGGCGCTTTGATCATCTGTTAGGATACAAGTTCACCCCAGACCTCAAGTGGAACTCATACATACTAAAGATGCTGGGAAGATGGTCAGTTCCAGAAAGCACTTGACTCCTTTTTTTTTTTTTAAGCGTTTCACCCCAAGCAAGGCGGGAAGCCACTAGGACTCAAGGGGTTACAGAAAACTTGGAGCAAGATCAGATAGGAGTGATAGAAGAAAGGATGAGGAGAAGGGTAGTGGATAGATCAGGGCAACTGGAGATGTCGATTGACATTACATTTGAATAGCTGGAGATTATAGCTCTCAGGAAAACTGGAATAGGGAAGGGAGTTCCACAGGCGAGTGGTGCGAGACATGAAGCTATTGGACTAGAAGAGACGGCTACATTTAGGAGTTTCGACAGTGAAAGGGTGAGAGCGGGATGCCAGCCTCGTAGGGCGCTTGAACTCATGAAGTCTGGGAACCAGCGAATGCAGCTCCTCGGAGCAATTGCCATGAAAGTATTTGTAAAAAAGACAGAGAGAGGCAACAGCACGTCTGTGAGAAAGTGACTGTAGACGAGATGTCAGAGCAGGGCCAATTATATTGCATATCCGTCTCTGGACATTATCAAGAACCCCTAGGCAAACAGAACGGGCACCAGACCATATATGGCAGCAATACTCCATGCAAGGGCGAATTGTTGATTTGTAGATCTGAAGGATCGATTCCGGGGAGAAAAATTTCCTGGCGCGGCACAGGGAGCCAACTTTTCTTGCGGTAGACGAAGCTGGCATGCTTTGTCTTCACAAGATTCAGATTAGACCAAAAATGGAGTATTGTTGCTAGAGCTGCTCAATCTGCACTTTTCACACTTAAGAAAGTTCAGAATCATTGGCACAGTTTTGTAGGAAATGATTTATTTATGTACCTGAGGGTACATCTATTCATCGTGACTTGTGGTAGTTCAGAGTCCGTTCGGGGATGATGGAGTGACCAATAACTTCTGGCACGTCAGTGTATATCACATTGATTGAAAATAAACGAAAACACATTTCTTTCACTTGTTGCAAAGAAATGCATTAATCATTTCTCACTTATATTTTGGGTTGAATAGAAACGAGAATTAAAGGAAGAAGTATTTTTGTTTATATACGCCATTATTCCTTTGTTTGTATTTATAAAAGTAAAAAAAAAGAAAATGGAGAAAAATGACTTATCCTAAGATAACAGTATAAATCAGGTGATAGCCTCCTGTGAATGTGACAGCTAATATCTTTTTCGGGTGCGTGCAAAAAAAAAAAAAAGAATTTAAACGATGTCATGAATGAGAAATTCTTAATGTCTTAATTTTATTTATTCTGAAATAAGTGTAGTGCACAAGTTTATCCTAATATATATATATATATATATATATATATATATATATATATATATATATATATATATAATAAAAAGGCTTAAACACTAATATTCCATGGTCATAATTTATTCCATTGGAATCGTAAACACGATCCAATTCATCAGACCTACAAAATCAAAAAAGAAAACAGAAAAAAACAACTCCGGGAATAAAAAATAAAATTTAGTGAGAGTGTATGTATGAGAGTGTGGGACGAATGTTAGAGTAAATGAAGGCTATAGAGAGGGGTAACAGACGAGAGAAAAACAGAAGAACAGGAAGGTCTAAAGATGAAGGGGGGATTAAAATTTAACAGAGAGAAGTTTTAAAGAGGGAAGTCAAAGACGGTTTAAGTGAGAGAAATATGAATGTTCTCGGATGTCTAACACATTAAAGATGTAACCGGAAAGGATACATTTCGTGGTGACATGCGAACACAATAGACAATCTAATCTTAAAGATCAGACGATGAGAGACGCTCTTTTAGATATAGATACCTCAGAAATCATGTATGTATATATATTTATATATTTTAGATATATGATTGCATATGTATGCGTATATTTACCACTAATAGTATCATATATATATATATATATATATATATATATATATATATATATATATATATATATATATATCCACGTAAGATGATAACGAATGGAGTACAATTCCAACGTTCGTGACATTAAATTTAAAAGAGGGCTCAATACAAAGTAGAGCAATCGCCTGATGAGATGCATTGATACGCATCGAAACACGACTGCAATCGTGTAGAGATTTTGACATGTTTTCGGTGTAATATCCTGAAATATATATATATATATATATATATATATATATATATATATATATATATATATATATTGAAGTGGACTCGGAAGTGTTTTAACAGAAAATGAAAAATATGACGCTGAAATCCAAGTACACAGAGGAATAGAAAATATCGCATCCCAAAAGATAAGTAAAGTACTCAGAAACGGCAAAATTTCGTAAACAAAGAAAAGAGTGCTTAACTGCTATGCAATATAATTCCTCCTATTTGACAGTCAATACTGACAATATCTTCACAGATAAAGAAAAACCTGGAAACAACAGAAATGTGGTTCTACAGGAGGTCGCTGAGAATTCCATGTAGAGAGCATATAATCAAAGAAGGTTTAAAAAATGGAAACATAAAGGACACTTACACATAGAATAAAAAATAGGTTACATTTTTGGGACACATTGAAAAAAAGATGGTTGAAGAATTTGACAGGAAAATTTCGGAAAGAACAGAATAGAGGGCTGACCTGCTCTTGTTATTAGTGGGCGAAATCTTAACATCATAAGATACGCAGATGACGCTGTGCAAAAGACATCACAGAAGGAAAACTGCAGGAAATCCTAGACAAGATAATAAAGAAAAAGACAAAGAAAGGACTAATTATCAGTTGAAAGAAAAAAGAGAAACAGCCTAAGATAGACATTATGCAATGGAGATATCCGAATCGAGTATGCACAGAAATGAAATATCTGGGAAGTGTTTACACAGATCACGAAAAAATGCCTTCTAAAAACTAAACAAAGTATTAAGTATACGGGAAAATATCATTAAAACAAAGAAAATATTGCTGAACTATTACGTAATATCAATCCTTTTAAGTGGCAGTGAATTATTATAGATTCCCTCCGAGACGAAGGGAAGACTTGATGAAACGGAGATGTCACTGTACACTATGATACTGAGAATACTCTGGACTGAGCATGTAAACAATAAAGAAGTTTTAAAGAAAATGGAAACAAAAATCACTTATACATAGAATCAGAAAGACATAGCTGATATTTCTGGGACACGTATTGAAGAAAAAGCGGTTTAGAGTATTTGACACGCACAAGACAGGGTGAAGACAAGAGGAACAGAGGTAAACAGAGAGATGATGTCGATTGACATTACATTTGAATATATATATATGGTTTTGAAAAACATGGTTTGTTAGACGGAAAACTTAATTCACTACCACGTTGAGAGAGGAGGCATGGAGTAACGGATAGCGGCTTGGATTGAGGAATTGGAGAGCCGAGTTCGAATTCCAGTCGAATCCATTACATTCACTTACGTGCTAATACCCTTGGGAAAGGTATTAATCCTCTTCTTCTCCCTTCAGCTATGGGTAAAATAGCAGGACAGACTGGGTTCTATAGCCTTGGTTGGCAACTGGTCTAGGAGAAGGAAAACTCTGAATTCAAACCCTGTGGAGGGTCGTTTAGGGACCTTGTGGCACTTAGTGCACCAGGTCTCTGAATTCGGCCCTTCAAAAAGTGTGGATGGTCCTGCACGAAACCTTCACAACTATAATCAAATCTAATGTGCTGTTGTCGGGCTGTCGGTTTGCTGGGAACTGATCTGCTTGACCCTCATACGTCGAATTCGAGGGAAGAGTCGAGTATATATATATATTTAATTGTTTCTTTTTAAATGTATTACCAGCGCAACCAAGAAATTCCCATATTTCAAAACTGAAACTTCAATTCAAATTTAATCATAAAATTTAAACTTAAACTTTAAAAAGATCCGTTACATTATCAAGAGATGCTAATGGAACGGAACTCTGTAATTTAAGTTTAATTTTCATGTTTAAATTCGGATTGAAGTTTCAGTTTTGAAACATGAGAATTTCTGTGTTATGATAGTAATATATATATATATATATATATATATATATATATATATATATATATATATAATTACAATTATAATATCATGCTCTTTTATGTTGTATCGAACACTGTTTTTTAAAATAAAAATAAATGCTAAGAACTCTGAACTATAAATCTCATTGTTCTTTTATAATATATATATATATATATATATATATATATATCCAAGTATAGAATTGGTGTATACGGAATAAATTCCAATAACCAACAATTACTATTCTTAAAAGAGTGCTTAATACAGAGTAGAGCGATATATATATATATATATATATATATGTGTATGTGTGTGTGTGTGTGTGTGTGTGTGTGTGTGTGTGTGTGTGTGTGTGTGTGTGTGGTCATATATAGAGAGAACGTGAAAGAGACAGTTTAAGATGTTTTGTCCATCTGCCCTTTCTCTGACCTTACACACGAGGTCACCCTGTCGTAGAAACATCATCTGCATGAGCATAAAAGGCTGTGAGAGGCAAGCGGACCTGCTTTCTCTTTTTCCGTTTATCTTTTTCTTTCGTTCCTGAACAACATTCAAATGATAGCCTTCCCTGTAATCAAACAGGAGGTATAAATTTGCCTACAGGCGCTTACACGTCAGCCATCCCTATATCCGCCATCTTCTTTCTCGCCATCTTCCTTGTCCTGCTGTCGTTTCTGCCTTTTCCAGTTTGGGAATAGTGCCAGGCTGGCGCATGGATATCCGAGAATGTCTCTTCTCTTTCTTTTCTTTTGTTCAACGCCTGAGGGTATTTGGAATTAGACATAATTTTGCCACCAGATCCTGGATGTTCACTTTCCCCGGCAGTGTGACTTTTGCATCACAACGTTTGATTTTTACATATCGATAGGCTTTGCGGCCATATCACGTTGATGCACCAGTTCACGTATTGATCATTGAAGTTAAGCAACGTCGTTGAACCGGGTCAGTACCTAAATGGGTGACCGCTTGGGAATACCAGATGCTGTATGCTCGGATGTGTAAGTGGTGTAATGGATAAAGGCTCAGAATGAGAACTTAAGCAACGTTGAATTAGGTCAGTACCTACATGGGTGACCGCTGTATGCTAGGATGTTCGGGTGGAGTAACGGAGAACAGCTCGTAATTAAAAATCAAAATTTCAATTCCAGTCGGGTTGATTGTGTTTACTTACGGGCAACCAACCCTGGGATTGTTTTTTTTTTTAAGCCTTTCACCCCCAGCAAGACGGGAGTGTCACTAACACGCAAGGGCTACAGAGAATGAAAGCAAGAGGAAAAGAGGGGTGTTTGAGGAAAGGATATAGAGAAGCAGATGGATCAAGATCAAGGCATCAAATGTCGATTGACATTTGAATATTTAAAAATTATAGCTATCAGGGAAGCAAGAAGGAGGAAGGGAGTTCCACTGTTGAGAAGTGCGCGAGAAGAGGCTGTTGGAGTAGGAGAGGCGGTTACATTTAAACGTTTCGACACAGAAAGGGTGGGGCTGAAATGGCATGCTATCTATCTATCTATCTATCTATCTATCTATCTATCTATCTATCTATCTGTTAGTTCCTATCTAACTATGTTAGTCTATTCCCATCTATCTATCTATCTATGTCATTCAGTTCATATCTATTTTTTTTAAGCATTTCACCCCAAGCAAGGCGGGAGTGCCACTAGCATTCAAGGGGTTACAGAGACTGAGAGCAAGACTAAAGAGGGGTATTTGAGGAAAGGATATAAAGAAGGACAGGGATCAAGATCAACGCATCAGAAGATGTCGATTGACATTACATTTAAATATTTGAAAATTATAGCTATCAGGAAGCAAGCAAGACTAAAGGACTTCCACTGTTTAGAGGTGCGCGAAAAGAAGCTGTTGGAGTAGGAGAGACGGTTACATTTAACCGTTTCAACACAGAAAGGGTGGGGCTGAGATGCCGAACTAGTAGCACGCTATCTATCTATCTATCTATCTATCTATCTGTTAGTTCATATCTATCTATCTATCTATCTATCTATCTATGTTCCCTGTCTATATATTTGTTAGTTCATATCTATCTATCTGTGTTAGTCTATTCCCATCTATCTATCTATCTATCTATCTATCTATCTATCTATCTATCTTATTCAGTTCATATCTATCTATCTATTTTTTAAGCATTTTAAGGAGGTCTATTGTCTTGAAGTGCGAGAGAAGAAGCTGTTGGAGTAGAAGAGGAGGTTACATTTAACTGTTTCGACAGTCGAAGAGTGGGACCGAAATATCAACCCATTTGCACGCTTAAATTCATGCAGTTGGGGTAACAGTGAATGTAGCTCGTTAGAGCAATTGTCATGGAAATATTTCTAGAAAAGACAGAGGGAAGCCACATCACATCTATGAGAGAATTACTGTATACGAGATGTCAGATGAGGACCTATCACATTATATATCTGTCTTTTGATTTTGTCGAGGACCTCGAGATGAACAGTGGGGGCACCAGACCATATATGGCAACAGTATTCAATGCAAGGACGATTGATTTGTAGATTTGAAGGATGGACTCAGACGAGAAAAAACTTATGGCGCGACACAGAGAACCAAGTTTACAATCTCCACTCCCCGGCAATGGCTTAATTAGTAGGATTTGTATCAGTAAATTAGTATTAACTCCAAAAAAATCTTACAATCTAAAGATATTTTCTGGCTTTGAATAACTTATAAAAGGTTGATAAACCGTAAAAAAAGAAATCAATCAATCAAATAGGCATACTTGCTAGTTGAATGGGGGCTTGCATTCATTTCATCATATTGTAAATATCCCGTTCGATGCCATAAGTATCATAGATTCTCTTTTCAACTGCCTCACCTTAACCAATTGTGCATGTTTCTTACGGTTTGTCGCATATCTGTTCATGAGCGGAAGTACAATGGCCGAGTATCTTGAGAGGAGCTTTTTAATTTTGAACGTCGAGTTGTCCAAGGCAACTTAGAAGTCACATGCAGATAGTAAGGAAACTCCTTACTCGTAGGCTGTCTCCATCTCATGGTATTTCTAACAGGAGCTAACTTGTTATTTTATGCGCTGATTTTACCAAAACTTAACGCCTTATCGTATATATTTGGCTGTGATGCGTGTACCTGGTATACCCTTATGTGTGCCATGATTGATACCTTTGGCTTTATATGTTTATACCCCGCCACATATTTTTTAGCAAGTTCCTATCTCAGTCAAAAGAAGGAGAAGTGAAAATCGTCTTATATACGGGAAACCACATTCAAATCATTTTCTTAATACTCTTGGAAAGATATGAATACATCTCTTCTTTTCCCACCCCAGATATGATTTTTATCTGTAAACTATTGTTATCGTCCAAAATGTTCTTACACTATAAAAATGTTGTCTGGCTTTAAATAATCCGAGGAAGCCGTAAAAGAACTAATAAAATAAAATACATATCGATGCATCACCTGAAACTATTTGCTGGAAATTTTCGAGTTGTAAAAATTACAAGTTTATTACACCAAGTAAAAGTTCTCTTTCTAACACACAAAAATTCCCAGTTTCAAAAAACACCTAAGTAAATCTGTCTATAATGTAATCTGTGTATACAATGTGCTATGGGTAAATTGTCGCCATTTAACATTTTTAATTTCGCACATGCGCGTTGTTTGTTTTTGATTTTGTCAACGACACAGTGTAGTAGAGCCAGTTTGGGCGCTGTCTGCGTGAAAAAGAGCACCATGACGCAACTCAGTCAGCCAGATATCTGGAAATAGCATGCCGTGCTGCTTGGCATTCGCGCCGGTAGCAACAATATTTATATACATTTAGGCAGCATATTTTCATTCACGTACTTTCAACCTCATCTGAGACCATCTTCGGGAGGTTAAAATATCTGTGGATATGTATACAGTAAATCCAAAATAATTTTTTAACTGTTTGTTACAAATTGCTCCAGCAATTCAAATTCAAAATTTTCAATAATGCAAGGGAGGTAACTTTTCTAATTTCAAAAAAGAAAAAGATTTTTAATTATAATTTTACAATTTATTATTTTTATATAAAACCATTCTGTTACAAACATTTAAGAACTTTACTGCTATACTGGTAGTTGGCTTTATTTATTTTTGGCTGCAATTCTTTTATATAAAGGGCTTCCAGTATTTTAAGTTTTTCCTTATTGTTATTTTGATGAAGTACTAATGTTTTTCAGCTGTTTAAACTGTGAATGTGGAAAATAAGTGTTCCTTTAAATGTTCTGAGATTGAGCTATGACCTTTCAATTGAAATGTAAACCTTCTCGTCTTAATGGGGAAAATAAAAATTATTTGAAAGAATATTTGGTTATTTTTCTTAATCAATTTTCTGCAGCCACCAGGAAATTAATTAGTGGACTTTAAAGGAGTAAAACTAAATTAAATAGACATAATACGTCTAAATTATTTAACTAAACATGCTTGAATAAAAATATGCCGTCTAAGAGGAAACACACACGCGCGCGAGCACACATACACACAGACATATACATATATATATATATATATATATATATATATATATATATATGTGTGTGTGTGTGTGTGTGTGTGTATATATATATATATATATATATATATATGTGTGTGTGTGTATATATATATATATATATATATATATATATATATATAATATATATGAGCAGCATATTTTCATTCAAGCAGGTATGGTTAAATAATTTAGACGTATTAAGCCTATTTATTTTAGTTTTAATCCTTTGGAATTGTACTCTATTCGTTCTCATCTTATATATATATATATATATATATATATATATATATATATATACCAATTTAGTTTGGAAATCTTTTTTCGTACAACTGACTCGGGTATTCTGAAGTAGCTATTTATTGAGAATTAAATGAAGGAAAACAAACCTGTAGATGACCAAAATTAGAATCTAAGCATAGTATCCGTTCATTGTTAGTTTTTCTGACTTGGCAACTTTGGTCAAGGAAGAGGGTGAGTAGAAAAACAGCTCTTCTCTCTCAACGAATCAACAAAAGAATCTCAACAAAAAATGGCTGTTGAAAAAATCGAACTGTGTATCATATCTGTGAGTTAATGATGAGTCGATAGAGGTCAAAATTAAGGAGAACAAAGAATGATCAGAAAGAAAATGACTCTTATACAACCCACAATGGCTTTTTGCCAAAACAAAATGTCTTTCTTAATACATAAAACTACAAATCCATTCTGAGAATAGAACTGAAGCGGCTAAGCTACTTACGTGGCCATCTCCGAAATGAGAACCTACCCACACGAATAGCTACATTATGCGACGAAAGGTTCTCAGCCACACTAAAAAAAAAAACAACCTTCCAACAAAACATATCTTACGTCAAATTTTGGAAAGTGGGTCGGTCCGGTAATCAGGATGATCACAAGTTTAGTCTTCTGATATCTTATTAAATAGAAAACACCTAGCCTATCACCAAAACGGATTTATTTTCCCCTGGTGGATATCAGTAAGTGAAGTGTACTTCACAAGTATGGAACAAGCGGCTAAGACAAGGGGAGTTACTGAATGAAGAGAGATTACATTTTAGACAAAGATGACAAAATAATGTTCTCTATAAGACAGTGACCACTGCTCTTGAAAAGTCATGGAGACAGAGAGGACCCACAGAGAACGACAATAGAAAGCGCGCGTTAGACTGTTTTCCTCCCCATTCACCTACGCCTCATATCGGCTTCGTCTATAGCAGTAGGTTCGGGAATAAAATTGTGTTTATTTCTACAGTCGGCTCGTGGTTTTATTTCGTGGGTAACGATCTGGACGAAGGCTTATTTTTAAGCAACAAACGCCTGGTCTGAGCTGGCTGCACAAGCTACACCCTTTTCGGTTGTAGAGTACCTGCGCAGGTGAGAATCTGACTTTAACCCTAAGCCTCCTTAAATCTTCAGTCGCTATCTCCGATAAGCTTGTTGAGTAACACCGACCCTACGATCATCCGGCTTTCTTTTCTCTCCTCAGTTGGA